GATGTCAGTAGCCTTCGTACCCATCAAAGAACGCACACAGGTGAGAAACCATATAAATGCATGGAATGTTGAAAGTGCTTCAGTCACAGCAGTACCCTGAATAACCATCAAACAACTCATACTGGTGAGAAACCATATAAATGCATGGAATGTGGGAAGAGCTTCAGTCGTAGCAGTTATCTGAATTCCCATCAAAGAACGCACACAGGGGAGAAACCATATACGTGCATGGAATGTGGAAAGAGCTTCAGTCAGAGCAGATACCTTAGTTCACATCTAAGAATTCACACAGGGGAGAAACCATATACATGCATGGAATGTGGAAAGAGCTTCACTTGTAGCAGTAGGCTGAGGTTACATCTTAGAATTCATACAGGGGAGAAACCATATACATGCATGGAATGTGGAAAGAGCTTCACTTGTAGCAGTAGGCTGAGGTTACATCTTAGAATTCATACAGGGGAGAAACCATATACATGCATGGAATGTGGAAAGAGCTTCACTTGTAGCAGTAGGCTGAGGTTACATCTTAGAATTCATACAGGGGAGAAACCATATACATGCATGGAATGTGGAAAGAGCTTCACTTGTAGCAGTAGGCTGAGGTTACATCTTAGAATTCATACAGGGGAGAAACCATATACATGCATGGAATGTGGAAAGAGCTTCACTTGTAGCAGTAGGCTGAGGTTACATCTTAGAATTCATACAGGGGAGAAACCATATACATGCATGGAATGTGGAAAGAGCTTCACTTGTAGCAGTAGGCTGAGGTTACATCTTAGAATTCATACAGGGGAGAAACCATATACATGCATGGAATGTGGAAAGAGCTTCACTTGTAGCAGTAGGCTGAGGTTACATCTTAGAATTCATACAGGGGAGAAACCATATACATGCATGGAATGTGGAAAGAGCTTCACTTGTAGCAGTAGGCTGAGGTTACATCTTAGAATTCATACAGGGGAGAAACCATATACATGCATGGAATGTGGAAAGAGCTTCACTTGTAGCAGTAGGCTGAGGTTACATCTTAGAATTCATACAGGGGAGAAACCATATACATGCATGGAATGTGGAAAGAGCTTCACTTGTAGCAGTAGGCTGAGGTTACATCTTAGAATTCATACAGGGGAGAAACCATATACATGCATGGAATGTGGAAAGAGCTTCA